CTCTATCTTTGGCTAGTTTGGTGGGGCGGTAATTACTGCCCATGATTGCTGGACTGAGGGCCGTGGATTCGATTCCGACATCAGGAAGACATTCGTGTGATGAACAGATTTTTTTACTTTGTCTAAGTGGTTAATATCTACCACTTTTCACAAAAAAGAATACACAGCAAAAGCTAAGAGACAAATAGGAAAAAGAGGGGAGATAAGAACTTAATTTTCTTCCAAGATTTATTAAGTATGGGCAACAACGTACAACCTGAAATCTTTTGGAATTCACATGCATTTAGAATTTTAAAAGGTTAATTAAGTCGATTCCCGCTAATCAGGCTACCAAGAGATTTTTATTAAGCATGCGATAAGAAATCTCACGTCAATCAAGAAATTCAAGTAACTTTTAAGTCGTGTTGGTCAAAAGGAACCTCTAGATACGTTCTCAACGATTTTGTATATTTTTACGACGATCATTTTGTATAATGATTACGGCTTGATTACTGTAAATACACGCTAAAAGCAGTCCGTGGAAGGTTAAAAGGGGTTTGTTTTTTATATGTGCTGCGGTTGCAATCTCAATAAACCAATTTGCGACGACGATTCAACGTGAAGACTGTGGTTGTATTCCTTCGAGTTTATTGGCTTTTGTTCGGGACATTGGCTTATAAGAATGCTAAAAATGGGACATCTAAAGGATAGCTCTCTTTTACGTTGTGATTGAGAGCTTAGGGCTGGAGTTGTGATTGTCGTGCTCATAGACTAACATATGTTTGTCTTGCATGAGGTCATTGGTCCAAAATTAGGCAAATAATGTTTTGACTTGGTGTTCACCGGTATTTTTATGATTGACGGCGGGTTAACAACACATACTTTATCGAAAGCGATTAGTTGCATGACAGAAAGTATTGAAGGTCAACAAAATTTCTTCATTTTTTATATATATGACGGAACATTAACCTCCGTATTGTTTTTAAAAAGTGTGTCACAAAACGTCACAGTTATTACTTTCATGATGATGACTCATGTCGGGCTTCTGAACGAAAACTTCACGAGAACTTTACGAACACTGTTTATATTTCGCTACAAGCGTAACAACTTTCCGGAGAGATCCGTACTGTCCTACGGCTCGAACACGAATGAATCGTCGTCGGCAGAGCGGCCGGTATTTATAGTGATTTTTGCAAATCANAACCCCGACAGGATAGCCCCGACAGGGCTAGCGCCCGAGGCGATCTCGCGGATCACTCCGGAGATCACCTCGGCCAAGTTCTCCCAGAGCGCCAGCAGCCATGCAGCAAAGCCGGCAGGCTGGGAGGCCTGTCGACCGCTGCGGCGCTCGCGCTGAGGGCGGGGGGGGAGGGGGGGCTGAGATGTGCCCGAGATGGCTGGTTGGGCCTGGGGCAGTGGGGTCGTTTCCGGTATTGAAGCCGGTTGCGAAGGGTGGATAGGGGGGTTTATATCAACCTCCATTATTAGGTTTGTTGACGGGGGAGCCGATGCAGTAGGAGCGTTCGCTACTGCGTCCCGTTGCGCTCTCTTCTTTAGTTTTTTTTTGTTTTTTAAGCCTGTTTTTTTTTTGTTTTAGGACCTGATAATTGGAGGGTTTGTACTCCAGCTCGGGCTGGAGCGCTGCGTTGTGAGAGGGGCGGTCTGCTTGCAGCGTTTAGACCACGAGGGGTAGGAACGGGCATACCCCGCCGCGGAGCGTTGGCTTCAGCCATCAGCGTTGCCGCTGATGGATTGGCCTCCACTGACACGGCAGGGGGGATGGATAAGGACGGGGGAGGGGGTTGGGATTGGGAAGATTTCCCTTTCCCCTTCCCCTTCGGAACGGGAGCTACAGAAGGAAGAGCTGTGTTCCCGGGTCGAGGCACCAACGGCGCAGGAGGAGGGACGGTTACTCCCATCATCCTGGCCCTCTTGCGGTAGACCGCGCACCGCCTGTCGACGGCAGCGTGATCTTTCCCGCAATTGGCGCAGGAGAATGGGCCGTCCCTCGGCCTCGGGCAGTCCGCTACGACATGCTTCCCGGCACATCGAACGCAGCGGACCGCTCGGTGACAATTATTGGAGGCGTGCCCGAAGGCCTGGCAGCGATGACATTGCGCAGGCCCGCGGGTTGGTCGCCATCCCTCAATCGTCACCCCCGGCAAGTACAGCAGTTCATTGACTGCGTACAGGCGGGCGAGGTCGTCCTTCGAGAGGTGGTCCAAGGCTACGTGAAACACGCAGCCCGGGCGCCCTCTCTGGGACCTGATGCACCTGGCGTGACGAGCCGGAAACCCCAGCTCCTTTAGGGCATCGGTTACTTCTGCCGCGTCAGTATCGGCAGGGAGGCCCCGGACAGCCACCTTAGTCGGAATCTCCCCTGTCAGGGCATAGCAGTACCATTTTATGGTACCATCCCTGGCAGAGGCCTCCGACAGGTAGGCCTGGACCGCCCTGTATTCCTCTACCGACGTCGGCAGGAATCTAAAACCGGCGCCGAAGGGTCGCACCGAGGGGGCGCGACCGAGGCGCTCCCTAATGGCCGCCATGTGGCGGGACCAATTAGGGAGGGCTTCCACCATTATTGGCGGGTGTCGGCGCAGTTCCTCTTGGGCACGACCCTTCGGCCTCGGGGGAGGGACATGAGAGGATTGGGATGTCCTCTGGGTGGAAGGAATACTCGGCCTAGCTGCCATGGCAGCATAGGAGGTAGAGAGAATGGGGTTAGGCTTAGGGGCGTGATGTGGTCTGGTGGACTCTAGGTCTATATACCTGGTAGAGTCCAGGTTACCCGCCGTGCCGCTTAGGGTGGGGGCACCTCGGGTAGAGTCCACCGGGATTGGGGATAAGATTGGGGAAGGAGAATGAGGAGGGGTTCTTAATTGCCTAGGAGCAGTCCCTGTCCTGGCGGGAGCCCTAGGCTTGGGTACGGGTTGATCTGGGATTGGACTCCCAGAGGGGGAAGCAGATCTTGATGAGGAAGGAGTTACAGACTCAGTAGAGGAGTGGTCTGTGGATGTGGTCGCGCTCTCTTCTCCCTCCGACCTGGAGGAAGGGCCTATTCGCGGGCGCTTGTCTTGGTCACCCGATGAGCCTCGGTCAGACTCGGACCTGGCCTTCTTCCGCGGCCGAGAGGCCTCGGGGCCCCCTCGGCCGCAGCCGAAGACCCGGACGAATTGTCCAACCGAGGACCCATCGGGGCCATACGGATTGCAGGTATCGGTCTGGTACGTAATTCGGGCATCGCCTGACGTCCCCTATGAGACGGGCCGAGTGTGCTGGTATTTGGGGGTGAGTTCCCCCTCGACATGATCTTGCTGGTCTTTTATGGCTATGAGGTCATTGGTACCCCGTCTCAACGGTTGACTAAATGTTACTACCCTACTAGTTCACTGGTTCACTGGTTACCCCGGCCGACCAGCAATTACAGTCACTACTTACTACTTGACTATTACGGAACTATATAATAATAAAAAGAAAACTAATTAGTCAAAGTCAGTACTAAAAGAAATTTACTAACGTAATAAATGTAAAATAAAAGAATTAAATCAAAATAACAATAAACTACAACTACAGGGATCAATAACCAATCAGCTTCAGCTGAAATCCCGTCAGCGACAGCAGAGCCGGTAGGTTCTTACTCCGGATTCTACTATTAACTGTATATAACTAATAAAAATTAAACTATAATTCCCTATAATTAATTAAAGAATTTATGTAAGGTACTTACTCGTTATACTTGAGTCCCTTGACCAGTAAGACAATTACTGGTAAGGGAATCATGAACTCCAACCTATTATTAACTAATACTATAAAATAGAATGGAAATAAAATAAGAATAACAGTTATCAAGAATTTTAAACTAACTAATGAATTAATAAAGAAAACAAATAAACAAATGTGACGGGAACACCCCTCCAGACCCTACTATCGCTAACACAACTGAAGGAATGAAAAAGAATAATAAAAATTAACTCAGTTAATGTAACATAAATGGGTGACCACTTATGATAGTCGGCCGGAAGGCCAGATTAACAGAATTACGATGATTGTAATATTTGGTAAAATAAAATATAACACTTAAAGTGGGTAGAAATGAAAAAAAAAAATTAATATATATAAAAAAACTACAGCAGCGCCACTAGTTTTAATTAATAACGGGTAGGTTGAAATTTAATATGAAATAAAATGAATTAATTACTATTGTATTGTTAGAATTTAAATTTAAATTTACTACATAATCAAGATAAAATAAACCAAAAGGACACTAACGCTACGACTAACTTAAACTAACTATCGGTAGGGGGTTCCAACGTCAATAACCCTGGACTACTTGGTAGTCCATTGGACCAGCTTATCGGGTTTAGCGACCGCCCCGCCTAGCCCCGAAGGGTAGGAGAGGACTGGGAATGACACAGGAGGGCCAGACTCGGTGGCGCTAACGTTCGCCGGTTTTATATTCAAATAAAACGGTAACGCAGCTTACACAGGCTGGTCGACACCTACCCGTATTAAACTAATCGTTTAAGGAAAGAAGTGTCGATCCACTTACCTGTTCCCGGGTCCTTCGTCTCACTGTTCGGGGCGTTTCCACTCCGAAACAGCAACTCCAGATGAAACACTCTCACACTTGGGCACACACAATTGCACAGCACAAACAATAGGGGCCTCGTAGCACTGGTGTCCCGGGCAGAATTTGCAGCGAGGTAGGCCCCTTATTTATGGTCGCCCACGCGCACTCGTCCAGCGCTATTATGAGTCCGAGCACGGTGGGCGTCTATTGTTCTCTCGGCCGCCTCGCTCGCCTATTGTTTGCCTAGTCGCTC